TCATCTTTTACTTGTACATTCATAGACCTAAATCTAGGGATTAGAATGGAAGTGGATGGCTGAAAATCCTTGGATAATACAAGACACTAAACGGAATTTCACTTTCCCAGAGGTATTTCACTCCTGACAGCACTAGTCTGTATGCATGTTATTCCACCTTTAAAATTACTGTTGTGGAGCATTCTGCAGCTGTGTTGAAGTTACTCATTTATGTGGTTTGGGCCAGTTTCTGAGAAACAGGCAGAATGAGAGAGCAGAAGAATCCATCAATGTTAGATTTGAACAAAGAAAATTATGATATTTTTGGACTTGTTGTCTTCCACATTGCCAATAGAGATATAAAAATAAAGGATAGAAATGATACAGATTACAGGGTAGTTATAGAGAGTCCTAATTTTCAGGGAAGGGGCATGGGAATGGGGAGAATTCCCCAAACTCATTGACTTAAAATGTCTCTTCCTTGGGGTGTTGTCTAATTGTTTTCCTTTATGTGTTATTTCTGTGGTTGTTTTCTCTTTCTCTGTATTAAAAAAAAAATCATGTCAAAGACTTCTGAAAACAGAACATTTGCTCATTTGAGATGAGTTCTTTACACTTCTCAAAAAACAAGGGTATCTTTGGTCATCTTGGTAGAATTTGAAATGCATATTTTGTTTGACATTATTTGTGAATTAGATTTTTCCTCCTCAGAATAAGTGTAGAAATGCTTCCATATGTTTGAAGTTGGTTTCCTCATTTTATTAAGAAGAAAAAAAGAAGAATGTAGTTTATAGCAATTTTCATGTGAATACATATTTAATAATGCTGTTTCCTCAAAGCTAAAGCAGCTTTTCTCCTGCTTCAATATGCTACCAAAGTTAAGAAGATAACATCATTTGTTTCAAAGTATTAAATTGTAATTGAGATATTTTTAATATAATGAAACTAAACTATATTTTACTATTTGATTTCTTATATGAAATAGAATTTTAGGTGAGGATCTGACTTTAATTTTTTTTCCCCAAATAGCCACAAATCACATAGCATCATTAAAGAAATGCTTCAGTTTTTCAAATACTAAATTCTTTTCCATGTAATAAATTCGTCTATATAACTTTTTTAAAAGTCTATTCCATAGATCTCCTTACCAATTCCTAATCTCTGTACTAGTTCCTAAGATCTCCTTTCTAATTCCTAGGAATGTTTTAATAATTGTGGGTTTTATGGTATATTTTAATATACGGTAGATCAAACAAATGTCCCTTCATTATTCCAATTTTAAAGAATATTCTTGGCTTCTTCTATGTGAATGTTAGAATGATTTTGTGAAGTTTCAAAAATATCTACTGGGATTTTTAAAATTAGAATTTCATTAAACCCATAAATTAGTTTAGGGAGAATAATTGATTTTCCTATCCAGGATCACAGTAAGTCTTTTTCCTTTATTCAATTGTAAAGTATTTCTCTGTAAACTATAATATTCTATATAAAGGTCCAGTCTATTTTATATTTAATTACAGATTTTATGTATTTTTTTTGAGGGATGTGGGATAGGTTAGGGCAGAGAAAACATTAGACTTACTCTAAATTTTCCTAACTCAGTTTTCCCATTCTTTTTATAATGCTACTTTTAATAATGGAAAGTTAGTTACGAAGTTAATCATCAACTTATAGCAGAACAAACTACCCAATACATATGAGGATCTCCAGATTATAATACCACAAAGAACCAATTTCTAACTTTTAAGACACCAAATTAGATGTGTTCTTAATTGCCTATCCAGAGCCTTTTAGCCAAGCAGGGCGTTGATGATTTTTTTCCCTCCTTATTTTCTTGTAAATGCATAGCTGTTATCATCAGTGACTATTTACTTCAAGTTCTTTAAGGCATATTCAAGAGGATTGGAATACATTCAGTGATATCAGCATCAAAAGTCTGTTCCTGGGTTGCCCATCTTGGGCAATGGCATTACTACAATTAAAACTTTGGGCTCCTCTCTTTTGTTTCCTGCCCAACTAGGCTCACCCATCCAGTCCTCTTGAGTACTCCACCAGTGTTACTCAATGGATCTCTTTTCATTCTCACATTTCCAAGCATCCCCTCTCTCTGAAGTCATCTCCTATCAGTTTGTCCACACGAGTACATTTCACATTTACCCAGCCAGAGTCATCTTCCTGACACTCAAATCTAATTCCCCTCATTTGTTTAAACACAGGATAAACCCAAAAAATATACATGAAAAGAGCCAGCTGTATTTTGCAATGTTATGTTGGGTACTAGTTATACAAAGATAAATAGGAGCTGGACTTATACCTAGTTATTAAGGGATAAAGGCCAGACTTGGTAGCATCACAGCCTAGCAACTAGTGACCGGAACAGATTGAGTTCCTGCCATTCCCTTACCTGTCTCTTGACATCAGCCAAGAAGGACTCCTGAGAATACATTCACCTTGACTCTACCTTGTTTTGCCTGTTCTTCATGGCAAAAATCGTACTCTTCTTTCGATGCCAAATTCAATGTCATCTGCGATGTGAAGCTTTCCTCAATGTTTCTCTCACTTCTAACACCAGACAGGGTAGAGCTAACTGCTTCCTTGACAGCTGTCCCTCAGCAGTTAGTTTGTACTCTGATAGAAAGTCTGATAGCTGATTGTCTCCAGTTCTGTCTTCTGGCTTTATGGTTTTTATCTTGTAGCAGAAGCCCTGGGTCAGTCTCCTTTGATACTCCTCCTATTCTCTTACAAGTAGGCACTATAATTCTCAAGTCTGAGAGGAAGCCAATAAGCAAAGAAGGTGCTCAGGTTTTGTTTTTTCTTTTTTCTTTTCTTTTTTTTTTTTTTCTTTTTTCGGATAAATTGGTAGTATTTTCTCAAGGCAAAAGTTCAACTTATTTTTTGCACTTCTGAGTCTCTTTTGTACTTCTGAGTCTCAGTGAAAGCAGCTTGGAGGCAGCATAGAATCCTGGAAGGAGGGTTGGGTTTGGAGTCAGAGAACCTGGGTTTAGTCCAAACTAACTCTATGAATTTGAGAAAGTCATAGAACCTCCAGGAAGCATAGCCTCCTCAAGTATAAATTAGGAATATTTACTACCTACCAGGTTGTTTTGAGGACTATGTGAAATTATACATATAAGAAGCTGAAAAGCATTTTATAATGATAAAGCACTATAAATGTCAGTGTAATTTTTATTATGGTTATTTTATATGTAAATGAAGACAGTGTTACATAAAATATTTCCATTTTGGAAATACTCCAGCTGGTATTTATTGCTTTGCCTGGTCTTGCCCTGCTTCCCCAGGAGTGCTACTAGGAGGGGTGACCTGACTCCATAAAAATGGCTGTTTGCAATGTCTAGAGCCACTACTTCTCTAGCCAGTAGGGAAGTTAGTAATCTGCATAATGGAATCAATAATATCCATCCTACTAAGCAAAATAGCTTTGAGAATTATAAGAAATAACACATGAATGACTGGTACTAAGTAGGTACTCAACATGTGTTATATTCCCTCCAATCTCCATTTACGTTTTAGTCTTGCCCATCAAACCAGTTCCATTTCTAATCACCCTTATGTTCCATTTTCCATATTCTTGCTCCTGGAGAAAAGAAGGCAAGACCATATAGACAAGAACCAACCTGCCTCTTCTTCCTCATCTCCTTCTTCTCCTATCTTCCATATCCTCCTTTTCTTCTTTGTTCTCTTCTCCTGTTCTTTCTTCTATCCCACCTCCATTTCCCTCCTCTTGTTCCTCTTCATCTTTTTTATAAAATTCACTCCAATGTTAAGCAGCAGTCCTGGCACCCTCTGTCACTTCCAATCCTGCAAAAACTAGGTATTCTTCCACATCTTGGCAAAACAGAGCCTCTGTTTGGGCAACACATAGCAACCCCTTTGCCATGTGTCTGCCTGCAAGATTATGCTGGAATGGGGTAGGATAGGACCTTCTTGACAAAACACTGTCTCCCTTCCTAATGGAAGAGTTCTTTGGTTATGAAATACTGATGGAAGATTCTGTCTGTAGAAAAGTTCCCTTCCAGGGTCTCAGGGTTGGAAGGAAAATCTTAATGAACAGAAATACTCCTTTTGATTTCCTGTGTCTGGATGGTAACTCTTTCAAATAGTAACAATAGCCATGACAGCACATGGCCTCAGAACTTGTGGATGGGGAAAATGGAGGTTAGTAGATAATTGAGTTATTCACAGACTTGAAATTTATGATACTTGGCAGCATCTGTGGGCCCTTAGATCCTTCCTCCCAGCTCTTTGGTTCTGGCAGAACCTCCAGGAGCACAGGAGGCTGGGAAATTAGTAGCAAGGCTTTGCTGTGTGTTTTGAAAGTAAACAGGTGTGGTTTCTCTTTTGAGCTGAACAAATGTTAGGTGACACTCCATAGCTGCTTCAGAAATAGATTTGTCTATGTTATATGTAAGTGATGAATCACTAAATTCTATTCCTAAAACTAATATTACACTATATGTTAACTAACTAGAATTTAAATAAAACTCAAAACTTTAAAAAAAAGATTTCTCTGTGTGGTGCTCAGGTTTCTACACTCAGGTATGGCAGCCCATCACTGGAGTATACTTGAAAGTGCTTTATGCTTATATAACTAAATTGGGTTTTCCTGAGCTCTTTTCAGAAGGAAAGGCCTGACGTTTTCAAAGGCTCTATTGAGTTGCCATCCTTGGGAAATGTTATAGTTTATTTGTTTCCTAGCAGATTTCAGAATCCTTAGAGAATAAGAAATGAGAGAGAGAAGTTTTGAGCACGGGGAAAGTGATGTGGGAACCATCAGGCATGGGCTTGGGAAGACAGAGAGAGACAGCATGCTGTATTGGGGTCTTGATTTCCAGATGGTAAAGGATGTGTGAAGAGCTGAAAGTATCCTTACTTTAACCTTCTGTATAGTTTAACTTCCAGTAGCTCTGGATAGACCTTAATTGTGGCTGTGGACTCTTAGCCCAAGGACTGGCCTAATCTATGCCTCAGCTTATTTTATTTGTTCTTTCTGTTCTGTACAGATTCATGAAGGTGGCAGGAAGCACAGTGGATGCAGTTACCTGGCAACAGTAGGTATTCACCATTTTTTGCTCTTACTTATTATAGCTTTGGTGAAATGAAAGATAATTAGCTGTTATGAACTTTATAGCTGACATCTAATAAGCTACCCTTTATCCTCCAAGAGAAAAAGTCAAAACTAATTCCAAAACTGTTCTTGTGATGCATACTATCTCACAGTATGAGATATCATACTATCTCCTAGTAATATGATTTTGTTTTGTTGTTTAAAAAAACCCAAAAACAAACAAACAAAAAAACCCAAAACACAAAGACAATGAAAGCTCAGCTATTATATATACTTTCAAATTAATCTGTCATTGGTGAACAGGTAATGGGAATGTGAGCATGCCATCATTTACCCATAAGCTTTTCCTTGGGAATAAATTTCCTTAAGAGAGGAAATAGTTTTAATTACTCAATATATCACGTTAAAATAACAACACTTTATTATAGCAATGGCAGTGGTCCTAATTAATGCCAAGAGTGTAACTAATATGAAACAATTAAAAAAAAAAAAGAATATGAAGGCAATGAAGCAGCCTCAAGAGAAGACAAACCTCAGTATTCCAAGAAGCTTATAGTGGCAAAGGCTTTTTACCCTATGGTAGCTTGATTTGTAAAGATCATTATCTGACATATAAATTGATTTTCTTTAAGTTTCCTTATGATATTGGTGCTGGAATTTCAGCATCTCACAATGTCTCACCAATTTTTTACCAGAATCCTGCCCTTTCTTTCTTTTTTTTTTTTATATTCAGTTACCCCTTGTATAATACATCATTAGTTTTTGATGTAGTGTTCAATGATTCATTAGTTACATATAATACCCAGTGCTCATCACAACACGTGCCCTCCTCAATACCCATCAACCTGTTACCCCCTCCCCATCCCTGAAACCCTCAGTTTGTTTCCTATGGTCTATAGTCTCTCATGGTTCTTCCCCCTCTCTGATTTCTCTCCCTTCAGATTTCCCTCCTTTCCATTATGGTCCTCTATAACATAACATATAACATAAGCCATATGTTCCACATAGGAGTGAAGAAATCTATACCACAGCATCTTCTAAGTCCTCTTTCATCTAATGTGGTTCTCACAGTTCAGACATGTGCTTCTATTCTGGGCCCCTGAAACTGTCAACTATGACCACCTCACTTAGTAAATCTAACCCTGCCTTCCCAGCACAGTTACTTCTCTTCTCTATCCTCCATTTTAAGTGGGTCACAGAATTCCTTAGGATTCGTAACAGTTGAGAAGGAAGCAAGAGCAGTGAGTGAAATCTTTATTAACTATCCCAAAAGGATTTTTGATTGTTGGCAATCAATAACTTCACTCATAATGGAAAATATTTTATTATGCATTTATACTTATTTTCTGTAAGCATCATTTTAAATGTTTCCAGGAATTCTTATCCTTCCTTCTTCAGTTTGTTTTGTGAGTCATAGATGAGTAGATCTAAAGATCTTGTCATTCCCATTCTTAAAACCCCCCAGTGCCTTCCCTTTGTACTTAAACTATACTCTGGCCTATAAGGAAGGTACTTTGTGTTGCCTCTGCTACTGTATGATTATTTCTAGTGCTACCCTGACCTAATTCATTCTGTCCCAATACACTAGTGGTCTTTCACTGTTTAGAAGGTTCACATGCATGTCTGCCTCAGGATCTTTGTAAGTGCTTTTGTCTCTGCCTAGAATGCTATTATCCTCATTTTTTGTGTGGCTAGTTCCTTCTCATCTCTAAAAGCTCAACTTTCATGTTATCTCCTTTGAGAGGGCTTCCCAGATGATCCTATCTAACACAGACCCCCTTTAATTCTCTTTCTTAGCTCTTTTCTTTCCATGCTACCTTACATAACTTATAATTACTTTACCAAACTTATAATTATTTTTTTCTCTTAACTTGTCTTTGTAATTTGTGTGTTTTTCTCTTCCACCAGAATGGCACTTAGTTCAGTAAGTACTTATTTAGGCAATTGTTTACGGAGCCTTTACTATGGGGGAAAATGACAACAATGATGAAAACTGTGCAGGAAATGTTGCAAACCTTTTATGCCTTACTGTATCTGATTCTCACAACAACCAAATGAGTTTGGAACTAGTTTTATCTCTTGCATAACTTAAAGGAAGTTGTAGAAACTCCAAACATTGCACAGAAAGTGGTAGATTTGGGACTTATGGTTGAGTGTGTCTCACTCCAAGGGCTAGTCTCTTAACTAGTAATAAAGTTATTACTTTAATAATAAGACAATGATTTTTTGCTGAAAATATTACATTCTACTAGAGCAATTCAAATCCTCTTCAGTGTCTTTCATCAAAAACTATCTTGATAATGTAGCATAAAGGCTGAAGCTTGAAGAATTTATACTGTTTGTAAGGAGAAATAAAGAGATCAGTGTATGAAAATTATTGAGTAAGAATGTAAGACATGCTCAGTTATTGTGACTGACAAGGAGGGATCAGAAAAAGTTTTTCTTCCATATTCAAACTCTCTCCATAACACAAATGGAATGAAGTGAGCCCAGTCTTTTTTTATAATGGAGAAATAAGACTTTTATAAATATATTTTATTAGTTATTTTTAAAATATTGGCCACCTCTCAAGATAAATGTCATGTGTTTACAACTACTATAAAAATACCCCTTAAAGCAGGCAAGGGATTGTGTTTCTTTTGGCTCCAGGACCAGCACTCATTTGGGGACAACCAGTAGCACCTGGAATCTACCATTTATCCCTTCCACCCACAGTTTTCAATCAAGACTTGGAGTAGTGATGGAACAATTCCAGGAGATCCTGGCCAGGAGTCCAGGAGGATTTAGTGAAAATTAAAGCCAAATACCATGTTTCCCTAACCCTGAGAAATGCTGAGGTGAACTACTTAATGTAAAGAAATCAAGAGTCAAAGTCAGAAAAAAAAAAAAAAAAAAAAAAAGAACACTGAATTTGTCAGTAAATATCTATATACAGGTAGCCAAAAGAATCAATTCAGTACTGGAGTACTGAACTTGGAACTTGAACAAGAACTCTGAGTTTGAAGTAAAAAATAAAGATGTCTATATAGTTGGACTATTTTGATTTGAAATTCATGCTCTTGGGTTTTGAGGACCAAGATACATGACTTAATGATTGGTCCTTCCCAATCCATGCAGAAAAGCCAGCATGGAGGTTCTTCAAAAAGTTGAAAAATAGAGCTACCCTATGACCCAACAATCGCACTGCTGGGTATTTATCCTAAAGATAAAAATGTAGTGATCCAAAGGGACACGCCCAAATTTTTATGGCAGCAATGTCCACAATAGCCAAACTATGGAAAGAACCTAGATGTCCATCAACAGATGAATGGATAAAGAAGATCTAGTGTATATGTAGACAATGGAATACTATGCAGCCATCAAAAGGAATGAAATCTTGCCATTTGCAATGATGTGGATGGAACTAGAGGGTATTGTGCTGAGAGAAATAAGTCAATCAGAGAAAGACAATTAATTCTCATATGAACTCCCTGATATGAGGAATTTGAGAGGCAGGGTGGGAGGTTTGGTGGGTAGGGAAGGAAAAAATTAAACAAGATGGGATCAGGAGGGAGACAAACAATTAGAGACTCTTAATCTCACAAAAAAAAAACTGAGGGTTTCTGGGGGAGGGGAGAATAGAGAGGGTGGTTGGGTTATGGACATTGGGGAGGGTATGTGATAATGGTGAGTGCTGTGAAATGTGTAAGCCTGATGATTCACAGATCTGTACCCCTGGGGCAAATAATACATTATATGTTAACAAAACTAATAAAAAGAAAAGTTAGTGAGATGAAGTTCCAATTACATGAGTAAGTAGTACACTAGTTTGTATCAGTTATCAATGATAAATCTAGAACAAAAAAATAATACACACACACACACACACACACACACACAGAGGAGAATGACCAAAAGGCGGCAAAATCTAGAGAAAGTTATTCAATCCTTGAAAGAATTGAATGATGCTAGTAAGATCTGTGTTCACTTAAGAATCTATGCAGTATGATGTGGTTAGAACTCAAACAAAATACATGGTTGTATATTGGTGTAAAGTCTTAGAAGGAGTCAGAAGGTAGAAATCTCAGAAAGAAGGAGCTATGGGCAAAACACAGAACATGCTCATAAACTTCCTTCAAATCCTTGCCTGATCCCTGCAATTGTGCATATTCAAGGGAGACCCCAAAGAGCCTGCTAGAAAATAACAGCTGGAAATCTGAAAAAGTTGAACAGCAATTTCAGCTGCTGTCACATGAGGGACAGAGATTAGAACTTGAATTTCACAAATTTAGAGGGACTTTGTAAGTACCTTGTGCTTTCCAGTGAAAACTAAGAGTTATGCCTCAGGAGTAAAGTCTTGTCCTGGGTCTAAGGATTTGTCCTGAATCCAATGTATAAATAAAACAGATTCATCCTAACAACATGTAAACTGAAGATGCCATAAGAACAAGATGATCAGTCATTTATCCAATTTCCTGATATAGCCAAACCAACACTCTTCTGTCTCTATAAAATATCACGCACACTTTGAAGTACACAATTAAAAAAATACTAGATATGCAGAGAAATGGGAAATTCTGAGTCTTGGCCAAAAGAATGAGCAATAAATAGAAACCCAGAGATGACCTAGGTATTGAGGGAGACAAACCATAAGAGACTTTTAATCTCAGGAAACAAACTGAGGGTTGCTGGCAGAGTGGAGGGATAGGGTGGTTGAGTGATGGACACTGAGGAGGGTATGTGCTATGATGAGCGCTGTGAATTGTGTAAGACTGATGATTCACAGACCTGTACCTCTGAAACAAATAATACATCATATGCTAAACAAAATAAAAAAATTTTTAAAAAGAATCAGTTGACAAGGATTTTAAACAACTATTGTAAATATATTCAAATAACTAGGGAAAATGTTTGTATTGAGTGGAAACATAGGGAAAGATCAGCAGTGAAATGGAAACAATATATATATATAAAAGAACCAAATGAAATGTTTAAAGAAAAGAA